TGCAGTGTTAGTGCAGTGTTAGCTTATGCTCTCTGTCCTCCCGTGTGCAGTGTTAGCTTATGCTCTCTGCCCTCCCTGTGCACAGTGTTAGCTTATGCTCTCTGCCCTCCTTGTGCAGTGTTAGCTTATGCTCTCTGCCCTCCTGTGCAGTGTTAGCTTATGCTCTCTGCCCTCCCTGTGCAGTGTTAGCTTATGCTCTCTGCCCTCCTGTGCAGTGTTAGCTTATGCTTTCTGTCCTCCCGTGTGCAGTGTTAGCTTATGCTCTCTGCCCTCCTGTGCAGTGTTAGCTTATGCTTTCTGTCCTCCCGTGTGCAGTGTTAGCTTATGCTCTCTGCCCTCCTGTGCAGTGTTAGCTTATGCTCTCTGCCCTCCCTGTGCAGTGTTAGCTTATGCTCTCTGCCCTCCCTGTGCAGTGTTAGCTTATGCTCTCTGCCCTCCCTGTGCAGTGTTAGCTTATGCTCTCTGCCCTCCTTGTGCAGTGTTAGCTTATGCTTTTTGTCCTCCCTGTGCAGTGTTAGTGCAGTGTTAGCTTATGCTCTCTGTCCTCCCTGTGCAGTGTTAGTGCAGTGTTAGCTTATGCTCTCTGCCCTCCCTGTGCAGTGTTAGCTTATGCTCTCTGCCCTCCCTGTGCACAGTGTTAGCTTATGCTCTCTGCCCTCCTGTGCAGTGTTAGCTTATGCTCTCTGCCCTCCTGTGCAGTGTTAGCTTATGCTCTCTGTCCTCCCTGTGCAGTGTTAGCTTATGCTCTCTGCCCTCCCGTGCCCTCAGACCCCTCCATCCTTGATATGGCCAGTGGCGTATAGTTCCAGTTTCATTCATAAACCAGTGCACCTGCAAGTGGCTTGCACTGACCCCCAGCATCCCTGTAACCTCCCCGGATACTGTTGTGCCCTCTCACTCCCAAGGACGCATTGATCTGTTAATTCCTATAGCAAAAGAGCAATAACTCAGCTTAGTGCTGGAGAATTTTGCTCCAAGAGTCACTTTTTATCCAGGAGCATGAAACTGAATATTGTTTGATTTTGATAGGTCATAAATTTTTGTTTTAAGAGAATCAATATAACTTTTATCTTCTTCCTTACACTTAGGTAATCCCTAAATGTTCTATAATGAACATCTGATTTTATGTTCAGCAAAAGTACTTTATCTATACATAGTTTTGTACAGCTCTCCGCAGCCAGCCTGTCTCAAAGCAGTACCTAGAAATAAAAGTTGATAAAAACAAACAAACAAACAAATAAAAGTTCATAGTGAGTGATGTTTCCATTTCATCAAGATGAGCTGCCAAACTTTTATATTCCCCTGGTGGACTTGGTGCTTCCAGGGAGTCTGCTTGGCTCTATTTTCATTTTACAATTTCTTTTTATATTTATTTGTTCGTTTGTTCATTTATTCATTCATTCATTCAGTATATGTGTATGCGCGTGTCTGTGTTCGTGTCCGTCCGCGTTCCTGAATGTCTGCACCCTAGAGTATGTGGAGGTCAGAGGACAACTTGCAGGGGTCAGTTCTCTCTCCGCCATGTGGGTCTTGGGGATTGAGCTCTAGTCATGCAGTTGTGAGGCTTGATGGCAGCACCGTTGGCCATGGAACTTTCTTGCTCGCTTTGTTTGTTGTCTTTGAGACAGTCTCACTGTGTAGCCCAGGGTGACCTCAAACTGACAGCAGTCCCCCTGCCTCAGCCTCCTGAGTGCTGAAATGATGGACTTGGGTCAACATACCTGGCTTCTGTTCCACCTTTTAATATAGCCTCTTGTCAAGTTGAAGCAGATGTGTTACACATTTGAGCCAAGTTTATTCTACCACAAATCCATTTTTCTATGGCATGATGTGTTGGGCATACTTATTGAAATTGTAAATAAAACTTTTAGCTTTATTTCTGACAAATTATAACAAAATAATTGCCATGGTTTTAGAGCCCAGAGAAAATGGGTTGGCTTAGATGAATGGTTCTTGAGGGGACAGAGACAAACGTCACAGCCCCATTACTTGATTGCTTGGTAGAGATCTGTGTGGGCTTTGTTTTCAGTGTCCATTGGGCTGTGCTCTTGGCTGTGTGTCAACTGGCCCCATTTTCATTGGAAGACTTGCTCTATATTGTGTGCCCTTGATTGACCATGATAAGCTGTAGCTCATGCTGAGTGGAAATGTGTGCTGTCTCCAGGTTCTTCCTAGATGCATGCCTGGCATTTCTCCGTGGCAGATTTATTTATTTATTTATTTATTTATTTAATTTATTTTAAAGAGGACACCAGATCTCATTATAGATGGTTGTGAGCCACCATGTGGTTGCTGCGAATTGAACTCAGAACCTTTGGAAGAACAGCCAGTGTTCTTAACCTCTGAGCTACCTCTCCTGCCCCCAGATTTTATTCTTTAGCTTACATTATCTTTCTCTATTTAATTGGCTACATTGAAAAACATAAAGCAGAGCCGGGCGGTGGTGGCACATGTCTTTAATCCCAGCATTTGGGAGTCAGAGGCAAGCAGATCTCTGTGAGTTCGAGGCCAGCCTGGTCTACAAGAGCTAGCTCCAGCGCAGGCTCCAAAGTTATAGAGAAACCTTGTCTCGAAAAACAAAAAAAAAACAAAAAAAAAAAGAAAAAGGAAAAACATAAAGCAGAAACATGTCCAAGAAAGACAGTAAAAATACTTAAATCTTTGTGCCTCCCCTTGTAAGTAAGAATTTACATTCATTCTTTTTAACATTTGAATTATTAACAATACAGTTTGGAAACACTATGTGTCTTAGAGTGATTTATGCTGTTTGTTTAATTAGTAAAATAACCAGTGGTAGATAATAACAATTGTAGTTGTATATGGCCCCTGTTACAATAAATAAATAAATAAATACATATCCTACTTCAACAAACAAACAAAAAAGTCCCTCAAACCAATAGGATCATGTTTTGAGGATCAGTGTGCCACCTCAGACCATTTTCCCTGTGCATATTTACAAAGTAGCTCATGTGTGCTAATGTGATTTCCTTCCTGCCTATATCATCTGACTGTAGAAGTAAAAATAGCTCCTTTCTATTTTTTGTTCTCTATTTAAAGTTGGTTGGACTGTATTTCAAGTACTTTCTCTAACAAGTGGCTTTTTGCAGAATCTTTTCCATGGTGGGCAGTAAGGAGTGTAGCGGTTGTGGGGTTTTTGTTGGGGCAGGAGCAGGTGTGTGTGTGGATGCTTTTCCCTGTTTACCTAGCTGCTGACTCTGAATCCCAAAGCATAGATGCTCCTAGCCTAGGTAGTTAAGCCTTCTTAAAAGTTCTGGGATGTTTTCTATAGTCTCTTTTTAGAGCCTTTTGTTTGAGAACCAGCAGCGGTAGACCAGCCAGGGTCTGTGCTCTGGCTCTACAACTTCCAGCAGCTAACCCATGTCTGCCCTCCCTGTTAAAGGGAATGGCGGGAGGACCGGCTTTGCAGGCTTACCGTGCAGAATGAAAAATAAGATGAGACTACTTCCAGGCACAAGCAAATATTTAAATGTTGGTTTAGTTATTGTAGCTTGGGTTGGTAGAGGCTTTCTATGAAGGACCAGATGGTATCTCAGGCTTTATAGACCCCGTAGTGTCTGTCATAGCTACTCAGTTCTGCTTGGACAGCATGGACATGGCCACAGACACTGTATGGGACTGCTCCTGGCTGGGTCCCAATAAGTGTATTTGTGGAAACAGACTGTCAGTCAGCATGGTGCACACTTGTAATCCTAGCACTCAGGAGGACCAGGAGTTCAAGGCCAGCTTCACCTGCATAGCAGGTTCCCACCTGGCCAGGAAGACATGATACCCTGCCTCACAAAGCAAAAGAAAAGAAAAATCATTGTACCTTGGTTTGCTGGTGCACACTTTTAATCTCAGCACTGACAAGACTGAGACAGCTTCCAGGTTCTAGGTGAGCCTGAGATACATAAAGACCCTGTTTCAAAATGAAACAAACATCCAGGAGATGGGCCATAATAGGCCAGGAACTCTAGTCTGTTGACTGTTGTTCGAGACTAATAAAAGTAACATATGAAGAAGATAATGAGAATATGAGAATCCTGTGCAGCTCTTATTTGAAGTGGGCTGTTGAGAATTTAGGTTGACTTAAACACTAGTTTACAGACTCAGACATTACAAAGGCTGTGTCTGCATGAGATGTTAAAGGGAGTGGAAAGGCAGCTGGGTGTCAGGAAGGGAGATCAAAGCGAGCCAGAGAGGGACTGCAGCCCACCTGACCCGGATTGACGGTTGTCTTGTCTTCCCTGCTCAGTGCTGTCTAATGTAGTACTCACATTGTATCCGACAGGGTAGGTTTAAGACCTCCGCCTGTGTCAGTTAATGAGCTTTGGGTGAGAATTCCAGCAACAGGAACCAGGAAAGAGCATCGCTAGATCTATGGTGCACACAGACAGAGAGCATCCTAAAACGTATCCCTCCTTGTTCTCTCAAGCACAGTCAGTGTACTAAAAGATAATCTAGACGTGGGGGTGTGGCTCAGTGGTGGAACCGTACCTGGCAGAACCACGACCTTATTGGAAGTTTGATTTCGCCATCTTAACGGGCCAGTCTCTAGGATGACTTTTACACAACATTTATTGTCTAGCTATTTCTTTCCTAGCAGACATTGATGGTTATAGCTGTGAGGGAATTTTTTAGCTTGAGGCTTTTTTTTTTTTTAAAAAAAAAAGATTTATTTATTATGTATACAGCATTCTGCCTGTAGGCCAGAAGAGAGCACCAGATTTCATCATAGATGGTTGTGAACCACCATGTGGTTGCTGGGAATTGAACTTGGGACCTCTGGAAGAGCAGACAGTGCTCTTAACCTCTGAGCCATCTCTTTAGCCCTAGCTTGAGGCTTTCATATCGAATTTATGTGCTTACCTTAACCTTTAGCCCTTTACTATGAAGGGATAACTACCTTCAGCTGTGACAGGAATGAGTGTCATGCTTAGAACACAACCACCCACCCACTGTTGCTGTTGGATAACCATCTTCCAAACTTTCTTTCTTAGAAACTGATTCAACAGGACAAAAAGACAGAAACCAGACTCCTGCTCCCACTCCGGCTCAGACTTCTGCTCCTTCCAAATATCACCGATCTCGATCTGGAGGGGCCAGAGATGAGCGATACAGATCAGGTGAGAAGGAATTGCAGACGTTTTTCTGCCTGAAGTGTGAACTGTGTTCTGAGCAGTGTGAACTGTGTGTCCCGGGAAGTGTGAGCTGTGTGTCCTAGGTAGTGTGAGCTGTGTCCTGAGCACCCCTCATGGTTGGTGTGCTGCTTTCCCTTGAGCCAGGAGGTACGTACTGAGTATCAGCTGTAGATACTCAAGTTTCTGACCAGACAGCAGCAAATAAGACCATTCTACCCTCTAGAAATTTCAGTTTCAGAAAAGGAGCAAGACAAGCACAACATCACTGTGAATAAATAAGTAAAAGGAAGGTAGGAGTTAGGTCACGTGTGAGGCGGCAGCTCCTGTGCTTGCAGAGTTGTAACTAGCCCATGGCTCACAGACCTAGACACACAGTGAACTTCCCATAGCGAGCGCATCCGTTTGGTGATGTCCTCTAACCCAGAAGGCCCTGCTGGCAAAGAGAAGGGCATCGCGCTGTACTTGGCAGTGGAACAAATCCTAGAGCAGGTCTTTCTGATACCATGTAGCATATGTGTAGCATATCCTATGATTTAAATAACAGAACTTAATAGTAATATTATTTTACTTCCTCTAGACTTTGTCCCCCTCTTACCAGCTAAAGGTACCATGACCCTTTCTCGAATTGAAAATATCCTCTCAGAAACATCATTTAAAAGGACATGGTTACAGAGCTGACCAATCCATTCTGAGTGGGTATTACTAGACACATTTTCACATACAGATGATGAAGGGTGAAAGATATTCAGTCACTGCCACAAACAGTCATGCAGCATACCAGTTTCCCCTGCAATTCACCTTGTCCTGAGGGATCAGGTAGGTAGTAGAAGCATGGCTGCCAGACAAGAATCAGTTAGGAAAATGGTACCAGATAGTAGGTCCAAAACTAGTTCATTTAGCCAGAACTTCAGGCTGAATTCAGGGCTGGCAGGGAGTGAAGACAGGCTAGGGAAGGTTAGAGGCCAAATCTTGAACATTCTCAAGTACTAAGTGTTTTAGCAGAGTGGAAATCAATTGAGATTTCCATTTGTTCTAGTAGCTCATTCCAGTGCACACTGCTCGCTGTACACTGCTGTACTCCAGTGGGCACTGCTCGCTATACACTGCTGTACTCTAGTGCACACTGCTCACTATACACTGCTGTATTCCAGTGCACACTGCTTGCTATACACTGCTGTACTCTAGTGCACACTGCTCACTGTACACTGCTGTATTCTAGTGCACACTGCTCACTGTACACTGCTGTACTCTAGTGCACACTGCTCACTGTACACTGCTGTACTCTAGTGCACACTGCTCACTGTACACTGCTGTACTCTAGTGCACACTGCTCACTATACACTGCTGTATTCCAGTGCACACTGCTTGCTATACACTGCTGTACTCTAGTGCACACTGCTCACTGTACACTGCTGTATTCTAGTGCACACTGCTCACTGTACACTGCTGTACTCTAGTGCACACTGCTCACTGTACACTGCTGTACTCCAGTGGGCACTGCTCGCTGTACACTGCTGTATTCCAGTGGGCACTGCTCACTATACACTGCTGTACTCCAGTGGGCACTGCTCGCTGTACACTGCTGTATTCCAGTGGGCACTGCTCACTATACACTGCTGTACTCCAGTGTGCACTGCTCGCTGTACACTGCTGTATTCCAGTGCACACTGCTCACTGTACACTGCTGTACTCTAGTGCACACTGCTCACTATACACTGCTGTACTCCAGTGGGCACTGCTCGCTGTACACTGCTGTATTCCAGTGCACACTGCTCACTGTACACTGCTGTACTCTAGTGCACACTGCTCACTGTACACTGCTGTACTCCAGTGGGCACTGCTCACTGTACACTGCTGTAGTCCAGTGGGCACTGCTCGCTGTACACTGCTGTATTCCAGTGGGCACTGCTCACTATACACTGCTGTACTCCAGTGGGCACTGCTCACTATACACTGCTGTATTCCAGTGCACACTGCTCACTGTACACTGCTGTACTCCAGTGGGCACTGCTCACTGTACACTGCTGTAGTCCAGTGGGCACTGCTCGCTATACACTGCTGTACTCTAGTGCACACTGCTCACTATACACTGCTGTATTCCAGTGCACACTGCTCGCTGTACACTGCTGTACTCTAGTGCACACTGCTCGCTATACACTGCTGTACTCTAGTGCACACTGCTCGCTATACACTGCTGTACTCTAGTGCACACTGCTCACTGTACACTGCTGTACTCTAGTGCACACTGCTCACTGTACACTGCTGTATTCTAGTGCACACTGCTCGCTATACACTGCTGTACTCTAGTGCACACTGCTCACTGTACACTGCTGTACTCCAGTGGGCACTGCTCGCTGTACACTGCTGTATTCCAGTGGGCACTGCTCACTATACACTGCTGTATTCCAGTGCACACTGCTCACTATACACTGCTGTATTCCAGTGCACACTGCTCACTATACACTGCTGTATTCCAGTGCACACTGTTCGCTGTACACTGCTGTATTCCAGTGCACACTGCTCGCTGTACACTGCTGTATTCCAGTGCACACTGTTCGCTGTACACTGCTGTATTCCAGTGCACACTGCTCGCTGTACATTTCTGTGTTCCAGTGCTAAAGAGGTACTTTGAGGAAACAAAGAAAGTAAAGTAGGTTTGCTTGTTTTGCTATTGGGTTGTGACCTGGGCTGCCCTTAGATGTATGAGTCCCCCTTCATCAGCTTCCCAAATGCTTAGATTACAGGTGTGCACTGCCACTCCCAGCTAAAAGCAGCTGCGGTTAAAGGTGGGTCAGAGGGAGGTAAAAGGTGGAAGCAGCAGAGCATATCCAGACTTCCTGGTTGTTGCCAAGCATCCAACCTGGTTTCCTAGGTACTGCTGTCACCTTTAGAGGCCAACTCAGTCAGCAGTGTGCTCTAAGCAGAGCAGAAGGGGTTGGGCACTTAGAATTCTCATTTCTAGACTTCTGGGAGATTTTGTTTTCTCTCCTGGTTTATCTTTCTTTCTTGACATGTTTATTAGTGGATTATGATAAAAGACCTAGTTTAAGGGACAGTGTGTCCAAAATGATTGTAGATCAAAAAGTCTTTATGAGCTCACTGGCTGATGTGAAGTTTGTGACTCTCTCTTGCAGAAACACAGTCACTATCTCCAGCCCCTGCCATTTAAAACCATTTCTTTTAGAATTCCCCAACTGATAGAAAATGTAGTCTGCGAAGCGGGTATTTGGAAAACGCAAGGGCAGTGATGAGGAGTCAGTGAGTGGTCAGGCTGGTCTTCGTCTCACTGGGGTTTTGTGAGAGAGGAAGCTAGCAGGAGATAGGCTGGGCAGGAGCAATGGGGAGGAAGGAAAGGTGGTTCCCAAACATCACTTCTGTGGCTCAGTGGCAAAGAGCACTTGCCACTCTGACAGAGAACCTAGTTTGGTTCTCAGCACTCACATCGAGTGGCTCGCAACAGCCTGTAAGTCCAGCACCAGCGGATCTGACCCATTTACTGGCCTCCAAGGGCACACACACATGTATGCAAACACACAACACATAAACACAATAAAAATAATATGTATTAATCTCTGAAGGGCTGGAGAGAAGGCTCAGTGTTTAAGAGCACTGGCTGCTCTTCCAAAGGACCCGATTTCAATCCCCAGCACCCACACGGCAGCTCACAACCATCAGTAGCTCCAGTTTCAAGGGATCCAATGCCCTCATCCGGCCTCTAATGGTGCACACATGAATGTGGTAAAGCACCCATACACATAAAATGAATAATAATAAAACTTTTTTGAAAAGTGCTTCCCTAACATTAAAAAGAAATCTCCAAAAGTATGACAAGCTGTGAGAGTTGCAGCATTGTCATATGGGGAACATAAAAAGGCAGGGAAGCATAGATTATAGACCAACATGGTAGCTTTCCGTATATTGGGACCTGTTCAGCTGAATAGCCATGGGAACTCTCAGCACACTGGAGAATGGAATGCTCTCAGAATTCTGGCATTCCTGAAACCAAAAGCAGCTGTGTCTCGTGTCATGAGGTGGGCTGTACAGCATGCCACACGCAAAATAGCTCAAGAGCTTAAGGAATGATTTGTAAAGTTTATGCTTCAGAGTGAAGAGGTGGGTGCACAGAAAGGCCTGGTAATCTAATGCTGGTGAGTGTGGCTCGAAAATGTCCTTACTTGGCACAGGTTTATTGGCACCTGTGGTATTTCAAACAGTCGTAATCAACTCTAAATAACCTTTGTGCTTAATGTTTAAGATATAATTTTAAGAGCTGTTTTCAGAGATTATTTATTTCATGTGTGTGGGTGTTTTGCCTGCATGTCTGCATGTATGTCTGTGCATTGTGTGTGGCTACTGTGCATGGAGATCAGAAGAAAGTTGGATCCCCTGAACTGGAGTTACAGACTTGTGAGTTGGCACGTGGATGCTGGGAATGGAACCTGGGTCCCCTGCAAGAGCAATGTCTCTCCAGCCCCTGCTCTCAGGAGTTTAGATCCTGTGTCCTGTTCTTGGTGTGCTTTGCCAGAGGACCGTCAACACGCTGCTGCAGCAGTGCCTCTTCCTCCTGACTACTTGTGTGGTTTATTCCTAAGTGCAGCAAACACAGTTAATGCTTACAGTGCAAAGGAAATCCATCTTAGAATGCCTTAGATGTTGATCTTTGGAGAAATTAGCCACCCCAAATAAAACAATAAAATGAGAAAGGACATTCAGGGTGTGTTAGCATCACCCTGTTAAGCTGAAAAATGATACTCAGCTTCGATGGCTTCTGGGAGAGAAATCCATAGTCAGCTTTGTCCAGGGAATGAACTACAGAAGTGATTTCCTTATAAGAGATCAAGATGAATCCTGTGCCGTTGAACCTGTCGCATTCTGTTAGGAGGGCTGCTGTGTTCTGACCAGTAGGAATCTTGGCTGGAGTAATTGGGTCTGTTCCCTTTGACACCAATGTCTGGGCCAGCATTTTCATGTAGGGACAGTTGGGT